TATAATGGAGTCTAAACATCAGCTTGTTTACTGTACAGTTTAGACATGGGATCATAAAGTTAGTAAGGGCTTACCCGTGGTACTGGTACAGCAAAACTCTTTAATTTTCCTTTTCCTCCTTGGTTGGGGATGTAATCGTCTTCGCTGAAGTGAGCACTACACACACGAAAATCCTTTATTCTGGATATTTTAGCTCCCGCAGAGTAGCCGATGGCAACCAGCCAAAGCTGTCTCATAGTTATATTCGAAACAGGAAAACGATGGAATCTGAACTTTGATCCCGGCACATCCTTGTGGTCACAGCCTGGGAATTTACAAGTTCGCACCATTGTTAATTTAATACTTTTTACGTCGTTGTCAATCGATTGTGTAAACACTATGGAACAGCTGATCGGAACGTGCGGACTGTTGACGTTGACAGCAGCGCGGATTAAAAGAAAATAGTGCCGTTAAAAACTGAGGTATGAATTTTGACCGGCGTGTTTTTTGTGTGGTAAATTAATCAAGCTTTGAAACGCAAATCATTTTTTCACGTAAAAACGCACAGTTTTGTGGCCCCAGAAAATAACCGGGAGTACTTTATTGAAAAACTTCCAGCGGCCAGAACTCTGACCAGGGAGGTGACAACAGAGTGGGTCAGTGTGTATGCACTATAGTGCTGGTAAGGATTGCATACAACTTCATGTCTTAAATGGGCGAACTAACCCTTTAAAGGGACAATGTGTAGGAATTTCTCCCATCTAGTGGTGAAAATGTATTTTGCATTCAAACGAATTGTGCTCTCCAGCGCCTCGTTTTTTCAAATGCGCGTTGCATCTACGGTAGCCATTATGTACCAAAAAGCTATGACAGGATGTCTTCTAATAGCACTTCGTCGAGTGTTCCTTCGGGTGAACAGGTTTGTTATTTCAAACAAACAGCAACTTGACACAACGAACAAACGAATGTTGCAGTATGAATTCTGACTGTGAAAAACATGAACTATTGTAATAAGTAGTTATGCCTTCTTTATTCGTTATATTTTCTGAAGTACGTGCATTGTTAGATATCATCATCAACTTTTAACTATAAATGTTCATCTGTCTATAAAATAAAGTACACAACCAAACAATGGAAAAAAAGCTTGTAATTAAGACTGTAACATTGACTTACCTGTCGAGAAGAAAGCAGGACTTCAGCGTCTCTTTTGAAATCTTTCTCCTGCATTAGCTCTATCTACCTGGAAAAAGCTATCCCGACATTAACTCGTGTTTTTCGTAATCTCCGGTCACGTTTCCTTTTACGATCTATTTTTGGACTTTTCTGGCGACGAGGATTTGCAATGCAGCCTTTTAAACAGTGGCAGTGACAAGCACCTCTCACTGCTCTGCTCCTCCGCTTCTGCTGCGTTCAGTTACTGTACGTCACGCTCGCTCTGAACGAAAACGCGCTGTGGAAACGCGTTGGCCTAGTACTTTTTGTCCCTCTCTGCTATTATAGTTTTTCAAGATGGCGGAACTACATGGAAGCCTCCGTGGACCTACCCGTCCCATGTATATAAAGATAATAAATTCTTTGTTTACGAGGATAAGTCACATAATTGGCAGAGGTATTTGTACACCATTGAGGACATATTTATGAATAAAAATATTGATTTTAAATAATAAAATACATAAAAAAGTACACATTGTCCCTTTAAATTTATGTCGTGTGTGTAAGATTCTTCAAATTCCATTAATTGAATTATTAATAGTAAATAAAGCAATCATATAAACATCAGTATCAACAAAAGCCATCTTCCACATCAGTGGCACAAGCTGCATCTAGATGCATTTATAATGTCACAAATAGGCTAATGTTATGAGATAATGTTTTAAATTGAAATAAAAAAGTTCTACAGAGAAATACGAAATGTTAAAAACCAAGTGATACTTTTAAATATTAAACTAAAATCACCAGTACGTGGCGACAAGTCTCTGTCTAAATGAGTAAGCAATTCATTAATTCGTTCGTTTGTTCGTTCGTTCACGAAGCAAATGGCTGTAAGGGTTCATTGAATCATTGATTCTCCCGATTTATTTAAAGCCGCAGATTCATTCACTAACGAAACGCCACTGTGTGTTACTTAAGGCCAATTCACACCGCGAAGACAGACGCCAACAAACACAGACAGATACGTTCGTCGAGATTCGTCGGATTACCCGTCTTCGTTTTTTGGTGTTGGTCGGGGTTTGTTTTCATCTGACTTGGCATGTTGAATCACTGTTGATATGATTGTACAACAAACGCCAGAAAACTCGGACGTACTCTAATGTAAACATCCTTTATAGATATAAAAATACCCCAAACCTAATGGAAATCACATACTATCGTAATCGTGTGTTTATTAGCTTCATGATTTATGTGTAGAAACATTTATCTGGGAAGTGAAAACACAGCGCAGGAAGCCCCTAATGATCATCAGATTGCATAAATCAGTGGATAATGAATAGAAATGATGATTCTGTCTAATTTTTGTCTCACTTTTGGACTAAAAGCCCTAATGGACGCTGTTCAGTGCAGCTATTTGAACACAAATAAACTTCAGCAGACGTGACTGAATATGAATGCGTGTTGTTATTCTATTCAAAATATCATAAGCTACCGATTATTTGCACTCCTGACATTAATATAAACAGACATTAATATAAACAGTGGACAAATATTGAAGCTGGTGTATTTAATCTTTCTAATGAAACTGCAGTTGTTTCACGTCGCAGCACCCACAATCTCCTTCGTTTTGTTCACCATATTTCCAGGCAAAAGATGACACCTAAAGACATTCTGACTTGAAGTTTGTCGGTGTCTGTGTTGGGGCATGTGAACATGCCAGTTATTTTTCATGAAATTCTAAATCCAATGCCAACTTGTTTGCCAGTGTTTGTTGGTGTATGTCTGTGCGGAGTGAATTGGCCTTTAGAAATGCACAACTTGTTTGCTGTGGCTTTCGTTGGAACTATTATTTCGTTTTCAAAATAGAGCAAACAATACTGACAATACTGTTTTTACATCATTTAATATTACATTTTTGTTTGTTGAACTGTTGTATAAAATGGTAACACTTTATTTCAATTGTCCACTTTAGACATTCTATAATAAGTATTAACTAGTATTAACTAAAAGTAACTTTGCAACTACATGTCAACTAGCTCTGTTTGCTTAATATCTGCTCACACTTTGTTTTGATGGTCCGCCAGCAGACATTCTACTGACTATAAGTAACTTTGCAACTATCAACTTATTCTACTAACCTGAACCCTAACACCTAACCCTTACCAAACAGTCTACTGCAGTCTATTAATACTCTACTGACGTTTTAGGTTTAATGAAGTTGAAAAAGGACCATCGAAAAAAAGTGTAATCTATAAATATCACATTTGCAATATGTGAATATTCAGGGTATTTTTTTGAATCGAAGAGACTTTGAGTTTTAAAACAATCTCTTTGCTATGCAATCTTTATGCACAGCCTGTGATATTTGATTGTCATGCTACTGTATAAATGCTAAATTGTCGAGAACGGCAGTATATTCTGCAAGCAACCTATCATATGCACACTGCTTGTGTGGAGGCAGTCAGCTTTGACCTCAGAAGATTTTTTATTTTGATTGGATTAATGTATTTGACATTTTACGGCACTACCATTTTCCTGTTTATACATTAGAGGCCCGTTTTACATTTTACCTGTTAGAAATGCATGCTCGATTTTTATGTTATTTTAATTAAATGAAAGCAAAACCCTCTGTCACCTCACAAACCCCCAGGGGTAAGCGTAACCCGGTTTGAGAACCACTGCTGTAGATGGTTGTAAGAGTGCATATTTTATCTCGATTATCTTTTTAAATAGCAACCGCCAATAGTAAAGCATAGACATTTCAAAATAAGAGTCCCAGTGTATTTCTGGCTTGTTTATTAGTAAAAGGTCAACATTATACATAATTTTCTTTTGCTTTTTCTGGTTATTATTGGTATGTTGGTACACAAACTGTATCTGGCATTTAATTCAACATAAGCTCTTGTAGCTTTTGTGTTGGTCGACCCGTCAGAAGAAGAAAAGACAAAGAATGTTATTTAATATTGTTTATATATATATATATAGTTAAGAGTAGGCCTATAAATAATTACATAATTATTAAATACAGTTTGAATAAAAAAAATTTATAAAAAAAAAACTAGTGTACTTTTTGTAATAAATTAATTCATTTGGCTTTTAAATGTCTATTTCTATCCATTTATTAAGGAAACACACATTATTTGATATATTTTCATTCCACAGTTTTCTTTTTTATGTGCTCCTAAATTTTTCAACTTGTGCTCCTTGGGAGAAAAAAAAAGTAGTCGAAGTTCTGTTGCTTAGTCGAAATGGTGCATGATGGGAAAAATGTCCTCTGACAGAACAGTAGAGCTTTATAACATTTTCTCTTAAACCGGCTGAACATTTTGCGGTTTTTGCTGTCCTCCACGATCATTGCTTGTCAGATTGTACAGTACAATGTGTCCCGCATGAGATCTTGGGTAAAGCCCACAGCAGACTTTGACGGTGACATTCCTCAGTGACATTAACGTTCTTATGTCAGACTGTACGATGCACATCGTAGCTGGGATTTAAGTCACAATTGACAGCGTTGAGCGTTGCAGGAGCAGTTAGATTGCAGCAAAGTGGCCCGGAAATTCTGAACCTGCCAGAAGATTCATTGCAAAGGCAATTTATCGGCCGTCGGTGAGCGTGATGCATTAATAGATCCAAGACTGCCGATTTTGCTGTACGATGAAAGAAATCTAGAGCGTGCATTCGGCTGTGTTCAAGACAACTGTAAGACTTTATAGCTGCTAAAGCTCAAGTGAAGACTGACAGTTTTCGGTGGCACTCAAAGGAAATAAGACTCAACGGTACTGAATAGCAATGTTGTACAGTGTTGCAGGGTTGGTAAAGCTTCTTTCTAAATCTAAATCTCTTCATACTTTGCCTGTTTGGTTTGACAGATCTTCCGACCCCAGGTGGTGACTGAGGCCTTTCTCATCAAATTTGGGAAACTGCTGGTGAGTGTCTTAGTTGAGTGATACTTAAAATTAAAATCTCTTGTAAATGTTTCCTTTCTGAAGTCATTTGCTATATACTGTAGACAGACACTACTGTTCAAAAGTTTGGGGTCGGTAAGATTTTTGTTGCTATTTTTGAAAGAAGTCTCTTCTACTTACCGAGTCTGCAATTATTTGATAAGAAATACAGAAAAAGTCAAATTGTGAAATATTTTTACAATTTAAAATAATTGTTTTCAAATCTAATTTATTCATGTAATGACAAAGCAGCCATTCGTATTATTATCAATGTTGAAAACAGTCGTGCTGCTTAATATGTTTGTATATTATACATGTTTTCAGGATTCTTTGAATAATTAATTCAATTTAGCATCTTTTATATGCAATAGATATCTTTTGTAAATGTCTTTACTGTGACTTTTGATCAATTTAATGCATCCTTGCTGAATAAAAACATTTATTTATTTATTACTGCCCCCCCCCCCCCCAAGCTTTTTAATTGAAGTGTATATATAGTTTCCAAATATTTTTTCATTTTGAACAATTTGTGAAAAATAAGTGTTTGTTTAAATTCAGCAATTTTGTGTACATCTTTCAATTAATTACATTAGACATATTGGCCATCCTGCTTTACACATTACAGTATCTGTATTGCCATTGGCCATGTAAAAATCCAAATACACTAATTACCATTTTACATAAATATGATATCACTACGTTATTGTTCATAACATCTCAGTGAAAATGATTAAGTAAATAAATATTAAAAAATATATTCAAATGTGTCATTTTAATATCTCTTTTCTCTTTAATTGTGGAAAGAATCACATAACCTCCATTGACTCTAATGAGACCAGTTTGGGAAGTGCTATAGGTAGGTTTTTATTTTTTGCAATTTTAGTGATCTAAGATTTTCAAGACTTTCTCTCTCTTTCTCTGCTGTTTACTTCAAACCTGTCTTGCATGAACTACATTCTCTAATGTAATTTAGCTCCAATTTACCAGACATGCTGTTTGTCTGGAGATCAAATGTAGGAAAATTATTGAAGTCTTCCACTGTCATTTTTTTTTTCTCCAGCCATTCAAATGAATTGTTTGGAAGTACTACTGTTGTGTGCCTACGTTTATGCTTTCTGTGATCTTTTTTTTTTTAACAAATTAACAGGTCAAGCAGCATCCGAGGAGCTGATCAGAAACACTCTATCTGCAGTGGAGGCCATTTCCCAGCATCCCGTTCTTCTCAGCCTCTATCACTGCACTGTGAGTATATGCACCACTCTTTGATGTTCTGCTTTTAATTTTGTGTTATTATTTATAAATAATTTAAGCATCTGTCCAACAGCATTTAGTTACATCGTGTAATGGGACTATTGCACATACTTCACAAACCCTGTTTGCAAGAGTGTGTGCAAGGTGTTGATGAAAATGTTCTCACAAAGTTAGTTTCTAAACTCTCTATTTTGCCCCATGCAGCCTGTAAAACTTTCCATCTTTAAGGACAGGCTAACAAAAACAATATATCAAGCTGTGTATGAGAGCAGCTAGGGCTACACTCACGTCTAACTTGAGATCTCACATCCTCACGCCTAATGGAGCTACAACTGAGAGACCACGGCTCCCCTCTGCCCAGCACCATTATTCTCACAAACCTCTCGACAACAGGAAATCACTCAGGAGTGAAGGGAGTTTGTATTTCTCTGTGTGTGAGGCTTTTGTAATGAGTATTGACGTGCGTTCTGTAGGACTGATGCATCAGGAAGCTTTGAGAGGACACAGGTTCTCTGATACTCTATAATAGGAGAAGGCATCTTAATTAGAGTTTGCCAGGAGTCATTAGATCACATTCTCCACTCTTAACACACACACACACACACTCCATATAGTATGTGAATGACCATAGCTTATTGAAACTTATATTCGTGAGGGTATAGACAGAAAGGCTGTGCATTCAAAAATGCTGTCTCGCTTGCCAACTAAGTTCAGTTTGACCTCCAAAAATGCTCTATAGCAGTGTTTCGCAAGACCGTTTTGAGTGGGTCATGGAGTGTGTAGTCAAAAAGAAACCCGTACAAAGACGTAATCGTTTTTTTTTTTCTGATGCAATGTGAAAGCTGTTGACTCTTCTGTCAGACGCAGTTTAAGTCTGAGAAAAACGGGATTCAGTATCTGCTGTCAGATGAGTTGTGTTGTCAGGCTATATGTCAGTGTCATTATTCTAATGTTATTTTTGTAACTAAATAAAAAGTCTCACACCTCAGAAAAAGGAAGTTTCCTGTCGTGTCAAATACTGTGCTTGCGGCGCACACTCTTCAATTGCACTTGCAAATGTTGAGCCGCGTGCTGTATATCACTTAATATTAGGGGGGGAACGATACCCTCATGTCACGATTCGATACATATCACGATACTGAACTCACGATACGATATTATTGCGATACTCCAAGTCAAGACTTATGATAAAGGTTAACAATAAATGTAAAATGGTAAACTTAGGCCACATTTGACTGGTAACATCAGACATCAGGCATTATCAGGACCCACAAATATTCCCCCATTGCATTAGTATACATTATATTCAACATTATATATAGTAAATTAATGTAGTACTGACACTAAAATTATGTAAACTTCAGTTTTACTTGAATTGAATTTTTTCTCACACAGTAATTTTTATTTTGGGTGAACTATACATAATACATATTGTTGCATTTTTGTATTGTGATATATTGTGACACGACATATTGTTACACCCCTACTTAATATAATAATAATGCATTATATTTAGAGGCACCTTTCAAAACACTCAAGGACACATTACAACTTTGACAGTCATACAAATCAAGACAGACGATTAACTTGCGTGTACTGTAAGCTGTGTAAAACGTGCATTCACTCAATCAATATTGAGCATCCAGATCGTATAATCAAATATATATCGTGGAGCGCTCTCGGATTATGCATGTATTTGTCATTTTTACTGTTGGTAACGGAGCGTAAAAGTGGATTTCAAAGATTTATTATCCTGATGTGCCCCCTATAGGCCATGATCAACGACTAGTTGACAGAGCATTAAAGTCAACTAGTCTGTGCAACACCTAGTGTCAACCATTTTTGAGAAATACATTTTATTGTTTCAAATTCCTAAAAATTTGGGTCTCCGGTTTATGACCATGGGAAAATATGGTCCCATGTCCGAACCAGTTGAGAAACACTACTCTATAGGTAGGCAGCTCAACGCTTTGGATTCTAACTTTTGAACACCCATTAGATAGCCAACAATGATCTAGTCTATATAGTTCATACATAGTTACATCTTCTATGATGAACATATTTTTAACTCCTGAGTTCAATTTCATATGAAGGGGGGTGATGCAACTGTCCTACATCATGAAGAAAAAAAGCTTCATTAAAGCAATGACATTTTTTTTTAAATAAATCCCTAAGTAGATTGGTACAAAACTGCTTATTAATATTAAAAAATATGCTAAATCAAAGTCATGTGGTTAAGCCAAGAGTCATGTGGTCAAAATCAAATTTTTTATTTTATTTTGTTACATCATGACATTTTCATTACATTTCAACTTTTGTTTAGAAACCAACATGAATACAAAGAGTGTATTACTAAGAACTCAGCATGTTTTTTTTAAAAGCTTTTCCTTTTTTTTAATCAAGGACACTTTTATTTGTCATTGACCCATATAATGACTCTAGGTAGACAACTCACTAATTCTAATGTTCAAACATACCTCAACTAAGCTCAAGAAAGAATTAGCATTATACTGACATTCACGACAACCCTCTCAGAAGGAGCGGGCAAGAGATCAAAGATGTGCCGTGGGTTTAGTGTAGCACCTGTACAATATGTGCGGCTCTGTGAAAAAACGGTCTTACAATAGAGAAAGAAAAAGAAAAATCCATAGATAACCTTTACAATTTGCTTCTTTGGTGTTCTTTTCACTTGCAGTCACCGAGAGTAAAATCCTTTGTTTGAGAGATGCCCACAGCCATCCACATTAAGACACCCGTGTGCAACATTTGCTGCCGTGCGGCTGATTGTAGTTGGTAATAATTGTAAAACCTGATTCTAATTTTCAAAAGAGCTGGCGTAAGGCCTTTTGTTGGAACACACTTTCTATGATCAAAGGGCAGAGCTGACATCACATTTCCATGCAAATTGGAGCTGTTCGGAGCACTCTCTCAGTCTTCCGCTTCCAGCTGTTTCACTTTCACTCACACCATGCATGTGTGTGTGTGTGGTCTGGTGAGACTAAGAGCATATAGGTGAGATTTCTCACTTTTAGAATAATGCACTTCTCTCTTTGTTTCCCTAAGGTTGTGGATTTGATTGTACCGCCACTGGCGTCTCTGGCCTTCAGTAAAAACGGTGAGAACACACTTCAACTGCAAATAAGCAAAGACAATTATACACTACAAGTCAAGTTTTGACACACCTACTCATTCTTTTTTATTACTAGTCTACATTTTAGATTAATATAAAAGTCATCAAAACTATGAAATAACACATTTGGAAGTATGAGAAATGGTTATTTCTTGGACCCTGTGGACTTACGCTCTTGTAGAATTCATTTTCACACTCCCACTAGTTATTTGTCAAATAAAAATGTCCAACCGTTGTTATACCGTATCTGCACATAAGTCCTCCAATTGTCACTCTTCAAGGGGCAGAAATTGAAAGAGTTAAATCTTTTAAGTATCTAGGTATCTTAATTGATGACAGTCTTAGTTTTAAAGGACATGTTGAACATTTGGTTAGGAAACTGAGACTGAAAATTGGCTTTTATTTTAGAAATAAGCTATGTTTTTCTTTCAATGCAAAAAAGAAACTTGTAGCTGCAACATTTACACCCATTCTGGATTATGGTGACCTCATTTATATGAATGCCCCGAACCAAGTATTGAAACTACTGGACTCTGTTTACCATGCCGCATTGAGGTTTATCACAAACTGTAAGCCTCGCACACACCACTGTGAACTTTACACACGTGTGGGCTGGACAGGACTGGAGAATCGTAGACTCAGTCATTGGTATATGTTTATTTATAAGGGTATTCTGCGTCTGCTCCCCTCATATCTGTGTGAATATATTCAACCAAAAGGGGCTGGACTGTATTCTTTACGCTCACAAGACTCACTGCTAATGTCTGTACCAAGTGTCCGCACAGAAGCGGGTAAGGTGGCATTTCACTATTCTGCCCCCACAACATGGAACAATTTACAAAAATACTGGAAATTAAAGGAACTGGTTTCAATAGGCCAGTTTAAACTCTTGCTCAAAAGTTTGGAAATGAAATCTATGGTTTGTGAATGTTTTTAAATAGTCTTATGAAATTGTCTGTAATGTACTGAATTGTTGTGGTCTGTGCCGCTGTCTTGGCCAGGACTCCCTTGAAAAAGAGATTAGTAATCTCAACGGGATTTTCCTGGTTAAATAAAGGTTAAATAAAATAAAAAAATACATTTATATTAGGAGAATTCTGTATTATTATTATTATTATTATTATTAGTAGTAGTAGTAGTAGTAGTATTATGTAAGAAAATTCTGTGAAGTAGAAATATTGAAGTAGGAAACATTTATTTGAATAAAATGACAGACTCTTTTAACTCACTATATACAGTAACATGACAAGTATACTCATATGTCATGCATGTTCTTCATTGATGGTAGAAATTAGAAATATTGAAAACGTTTCGCACAGTAAACATTCAAATGAAAGGTTTATGATTGTTTCACTGTTTGGCCCTGTTTACACCTGATATTAACATGCATTTTGGTCGATCTGAGCACAAGTGGATGACACTAATACAGGACACATAACAGTGGAAAAAGTTTTTAAAAATCATTCAATTATGTAGTGACCAAAAATGTTGGCAGTTTTTCCTTTCCATTTAATGTTTTTTTTTTCTTCTTCTCAAATGTATTTTTTTTATATGGGTAAAGAAATGTATTGATAGGCAGTAGGCTCACACAAATCGTAAGCCTTTAATGCTAAAGGTTTTTAAGATCATGAACATCACTTTTCCATTGAATATGAGCTATGAATATGTTGATTTATAATTGTGCATATGAGTAAGTATACATGTAACCCTTTGTGTGTGTGTGTGTGTGTGTGTGTGTGTGTGTGTGTGTGTGTGTGTGTGTGTGTGTGTGTGTGTGTGTGTGTGTGTGTGTGTGTGTCCCAGTGGAATGGCGTATTGTGAGTTTGCGTGTGCTGTCAGAGATCACGCTGCTCCTGCTGCTGAGCCAAGACGCGGTGGAGGAGAGAGAGAGAGATGGAGGGAGAGAACGAGAGGGAGAGTGGGAAGGTGAAGGCATCTCCTCCAACACTCGCTTGCTGACGCTCATCTCTGAGGCCCTGCTGCCACAGTAAGACTCACCACTCACTTACCTATATTCTGCTCTCTCTGTTTACTCCTCCGTCCTCTCTATTTATTGAAACTAAGATTGTGTCCTAACCATTATTATTTTACTGGATATGACAATATTCTGCTAAACTATAAACACATTAACAGTGATATTGCAAGACAGTGATATTACAACAATAAAAAAATAATACAATTGTCATAACAAGAATTGGTCATTTTAAAAATATTTAACATTTACATTATTTAATCAGCGACAGTGTACTCTTACTGTCATTAATATGAATTACATAATTACAAAATGATTACTAGTGAGTTTTAATAAGTAGATTTAAATAATTGTATTATTTTAGGGGTATGCACTTTTTAATATTTTAAATGAATGCAATCACTGACAATACTATTTTGAACAGTAAAAAAAAAAATGGAAAAAACAATCTTGCAACAATAGATACTATAATTGTTAAATTGTCAAAACATTAATTTAAAATGTGAAGTATGTAAGATTTTTTTTATATTAAAATGCATTCTCTTTACCCAGTTTTTGTTCATTGATTACTATTAGTATGCCATTCATGGGTTTATAAATACCATCAATACCATCATCATGCACTTGACAAAGACAAATGTAACAGTTGTGTCCAATGTAGACACACTTGCGTTCACTCTAGACAGAATGTTAGCCTTCTCAATTGCTTACTCATGTCATGACACTTAGCAACACAGTTAAAAGTATTTGTTCTCGGAATAATTGCAAAGTTTCACCATCATAGAGTAAAAGTTTGTCATTTGCATCTGTTTTAGGTCCTGTCAGTTTAAACATTGAAGTTTTTTTAAACCATTTGAGCTCAAAAAGACACGAAAGAGAACTCAATTTGTAACTCCAGCACTGTTGTCTGTGCACACACACACAGAGCAGCACAGACACCATGCAAACACGGCATTCCGCTCTCTTTCTCATCTGTTTTTGTTTGAACGGACACATACACACAGAATTGTCAAAATGTCTGTCTTATGTCAAAACACAGTCGCTAATGGCTTACGTGAACATAAACAATTGGCAAAGAAAATGGATGCACATCATTATATTGGATCCAGTGCATTAGGTCTTTAAGTGACAGCAGCCTAATATATTTATTAATTAATTAACATTATTAACATAAAGTTATTAATGTTAATCAAACAACAAAATACAAAGAAAATCACTTTTTGTAGCTTTTACAAAGATTAATTATATTTAATTTATACAGTGAAGAATATGCAGCGCTATGTTCTATTTTTATTTGTATCTTTGTTCTTTTGAATTTATCTGATTGTAATTTGTTTAGTATTTTCTATGCAGATTCACTCCCCTACAAAATCACCCCAATCATTCTAGAATGACTAATTCTTTCCAAATAGAGCTATTCATCTGGTGAAACTGTTTTCATATCGCAATTGTGCATCACAGAAAAACGAAATATCGCAATGTCAGTTGTTGTTTTTTTTCCAATATCGTCTAAGCCCTAATCTTTAATGACTTTTGTTATGAATGAACTTGTATCCGATTGTACACATATTGCCTAGCTTGTTTAACGCAGATCTCTCTGCAGGTATGTGACTCTGCTCCTGGAGCCAGATCCTGTACCAGTGTATGCTCTTAAACTGCTGGTGTCCCTCACTGAGCACAGCTCACCCGTCAGCAGGTAATCAACAGCACAGCAAAACATTCTACACACTCTGGTGGATTATTTATTTATTTAGTGAACACATTTTAGGAGGACCTTAATTTGACAGTTTGCACGGGTACACCAATCCCCTTCATTTCTGTATAACCCTCAAGATGAGGCCCCACACAATTCTATTGCATATTAGCCTTTGTACTGTTCCATTTTTTTCTCTAGTGAGCAGTGGCGTACGATCTGGTTTACTGTAAATCCAGTTCTCTAACCACAAGACGACAGCTTGTCCTTTAATTAATAATAACTAATAATGTATTCTTACAGAACAGTATACTAAAAATATTTACAGTTGAAGTGTTGGACAAAAACACTCCTAATAGTCCCAGAGATACCAGGCAGAAGATTGTCTTGAGGCTTTTCTTTCCTGTGTGTTGCTGAACTCAACCTTATTAGATTATTGATCCTTCAAAAGTAGGTCACGTTGAGAAGAAATAAACTTCAGAGATGCCACATATAGTTTCTAACTACACCCACAGATGCAGCTTTGTGCTGGAAAGCCAAAAAAAAGCTCAAATAAAGATGAACATAAGTTGTATAATTGTATTATTCTATAAATTTACGAAGTATTTATAAATCTATTACAAGATAATTTGTCAAAATGCTCTAAAGGCTCTAAATCTGTCTGCACAACTCTTGTGGATCTTAGCTTTGTTTGGACTAGTAGCTCACATGCTTACACCCACACACACACACGCACACAAAATGTCATCTCTTTTGTCTTTTTAATTGTTTTCCCTGTTCTTACCACCTCTCTCTGTGGGCTTTTACGAGTGTCTGGGTGCACAGGTGAGGGAGGGAGTGAGTGTGTGTGTGTGTGTACATTTCTTATCTCATCCTCATCCCCCCGCTGTTTCTCTAATGGCTCCTGCTGGCCTCCTGCACATTGTCTTTCTTGGTGCTGATAGAGCTGCAGCCACACAGTTGAACTATTCAAATTGATGTCACCTATCGGAAAATGCTCGTCTGTTGCAGAGCCATCCCCCCCACCCCACCCCCTGCCTGCGAAGAGCTATTTCCACTCACAATAGTGAAATTAAATTGCGTTGCCTGTGCTTGATAAAGTCCTAAAAAACGCAGACCGTCTCTTGATGGGTTCCAGGCGAAATGAGATTGCAAATGAGGGACATTAGCTGGTTCTGTGCGAGCACTGGTGTTCTTTTATTATCGGTTGTGATAGTAGTTCAAACTTTCCAATTATCGAGAACCTTTGGCCACTCTTGGGTTTAATAGAGACTAAAGAAAATAGATGTGCTCTTAAGAGAGTTGTGCTGAACGGCTTCTCTAAAGTGTAAATTTTATCAGTACTACGAATTTATGTCTAGTACATTAGCCATTGCTTAGACAGGGGATAATGAACTAGTTTCTAACCAGTATGTTTAGTTAAAACTCTGAATGGGCTTTAGCTCAGCTAAAGGAAGAAATGTGACTCACTGATGGTCTGATTGACTAAAACTAAATTGAGTATTTAGTCCTTGCTAGGAGTGAGGGAGCGTGTGATTGGCTGTGACAAATTGATCAGACCACTGAAACTTCACAGAATCTGTTTTATTTATTTAATTTTACTTTGACAGAAAGAGCCTTTTCTGCTCTTTATTTCATCGATACTGGAGAGCTGACAATAAACAATAGGGAAGAGTGGAAGACTGACTGCATGTGCATTACCTGGCAGGCCACACTTCCTACCTACTCAAAAGGTTTAATGTGAATGGAATTGATTTGTAGATATCCCACAGTCACGAATGCGTTCGAACAACTACAAAAGACTGCGCCTATTTTCCTCCTAGTGACTTGCGTAAACATTATGGCAAGCGCGCTAGCCAAACAGAATATAAACTTTGTCGCCTGAAGACTAGTGTTGCTTTCTTCAACGAAAATTATGACTAAATATCGTCGTCAACGAACCTTTATCACGTGACGAAAACGAGACGCAACGTAAATGCTGGTCATGTGACGATGACTATAATTAAATGTATATTGCAGTATTGTTGACGAATAAAAACGAGACTAAATGTGGTTTACAAAATAAAAACTATGCTAAAATGTCTCTTCATTTTCGTAGACCGAGACGAGACGAAACTTGCATTATTATTATTAGGCCTATGCAGCATTTCTGTTTCCTGTGTCACTTCAGGGGCTGCATCAGATCGCACTGCGCAGACGCAGCCGACTTCACATCCTCGAGCCCAACTCGCGGCATTATTTAGAAGATGCAGCTGCGTGAGTTACGGCTGTTTCACACATACTCCGTGTGTAGTGCGTATGCGGTGGGTGTTCCGGTGTGTATGCAGGAGCAGCACGCGCTATTGTGCTTTCACGTGTGCTGCGTTTGCCGTGCGCAACTGATCTACGGCTGTACCACAATCACAACATTTATTCTCTATTTTTTATTTCAAATCGATATTTTTAGCCTACATCCATTATGTCGCGTTGTTGAGGTAGATACTGTGTGTAGATCTCTGCTCTGCTGTTATGCACGCACGCTCCTGGAGCGCATTGACGGACCGCATCCGCGTGCGTGTGAGCGCTCTAACCATAGGCTCTAACCTATTAACATGGGTGCGGGGGAAAATACGCACCACATACGCACTGCAAACGGAGTATGTGTGAAACAGGCGTTAGCATGAACGACAACAAACAAAGTTAAGTCTGATTCGTCTTTGGGAGAAAAATAAGAAAAGACATTTGGAAAAACTTTCATTTCATCATGTGTGTAGGCTACTTCTAACATGTTTGGTTGGTAAAATAAATATGTTGTAAATTCAAATCAGAGCGTCTTCCGTGTCTGAAATGGATGCATTCTTGAGTCTATAAGGTAACAATAATATAATAAGATAACTATAAGAAGATAAGATAGTTTGAAATGGGTTTGGCTAAAAGAAAATTTTGGTTCCGTCTATACTACTAGGTACTTATACTATATTGACTGGGTTAAATAGAATTGCATTACTAAAAAGAGACTAAAATACAATTTGCATTGACTAAAACTAGACTAAAATGTCATCAGTTTTCGTCGACTAAAACTAGACTAGACTAAAAAGAGTATGAACGTGACTAAAACTAATAAAAACTAAAATGACAGCTTGACACAAAGAATAGACTAAAACTAAAATTAAAACAGGCCGCCAAAAACAACACTACTGAAGACCCAAGTTTGGTTTGAAACTTTGAAGACAAAAAACGGACCTAGCACAATTAATGTTCTCTCACCATTACTGATTTCTAATATGCACTATGTCAAAGCAGAAACTAAAGCTGATGCTCTCCGTATGTCTTTCCGTCGTCTCAGTGCGCGTTCATGTGTAAATTGCGTGTAGACCCTCCCCTCGAAAAAATCAGGACAGAATGGGTTGAAAGTGGACAAAAGAGACAGATTAAAACATCAGGTGTAGACAGGCCACAGTTGCTCAATGAAATTTCGTTAGCAAAATCCAGTAATTTCAATACGAATCCACGCAAATCAGGAATTACACATTAGGCCGAAACATTTCCAGATGCAGATGCACGTCGACCAACAGAATGCTGCTTGGTTTGAAAGTGACTCGCAATAGCGATATTAAAGAGGTGCTGAACGCAGACCAGCTGTTGATTGGTTCCAGGTGAATGCATTTATATATGAAATATTTATAAAATAGTTTCCTTCAGTAAGTTTTTCCAAACTGGAAATGTCATGGTAGTTCATTGGTCAAGAGTTGTGAGAATCCTGTATGTAAAAAGATATATGGTCATTGGCTAAATTAATTGTTCCTATATAGATTTATAGTTGTGACCTTATTGTTTTATTAATATTATTTTATTATTTATATTATTATTATTTAAAAAATATATATATTTTCTTTTTAAATTGTCACAATTTACATCAGTTGGTCAGGTCATATTACAGTGTAACTACCAGTATAATTACATTGGTACAGAATAATTCTAATGAACAACATGTTACTTAATATATAATAGTTTTGTGAAGTTGCCAATAACATATGACAGATACAACAAGGACAATTTAAAGTTAATATTACTTAAAGGCACACTGTGGAATTTTTGGCCACTAGGGTGCGCTCGACCTGTAATTTTCACGTCTAGTGCCCCTAGAGGCCACAAGCGCCGCAGCATTGTCGCAAAAGTCAACAAACAGTCAACCGGTCAACCTCCCGTGTCTTTGTGTGTGTGCAGACGGCATTTGATTTGTATGTTGGAGAAAGTTAATCGATTCACTACTGACCAAAATAATAATATAAATATAAGATTAATAATATAAATCCTATAAAGAAAACAAATTGAATAAAAGTAGCATACGCAGAAAACAATGTCTGATCAGGTAAGTCGCATTGACAAGGGTTGCCCAATCCTGCTCCTGCCGATCGTCTGTCCTGCACAGTTCATCTCCAACCCTAATCAAACACACCTGAAGCAAACAATTAACGTCTTCAGGATCTCTTTGCAATGGGTTGGAGATGAAATCGAGTAGTCGGGAAATCGTGTAACAAAACTGATATAACTCACTACATATTTCCGTTATTTGTAGTCTTCAGTTTGTTTTTCCTTTTACACAAATACAAACATATATGAGCTGAAAGGAAAAAAAAACATTTACATTTACATTTGTATACGGCAGTATGTTGTGACTTATATCAGTTTTGTTACACGAATTCGCAATAAATATTACATTATTTATACACTTTTATGCCGATGTTTATTTTAAACTCTCCCTTTTTCTTTTTTTGGTCTCCTCTGACAAAATCTTTGCTTTCTTCGCTTTCTTCCGAGTCGCTGTTGATTCAGTCATGACGACAACATACAGACGCCGGCAATCAAACGCGAGTTGAGCTCTCACGTTAGAATTTGAGGAAGTTGGGGTGGTGGGGGAAGTGACGTATGCCGTAAAGCGGTCGAATTTTGTAGTTCTTTTTGTGCTCGGGTTCCTACCGGAAACCCGAAGTTACATAGTGCTAGTACAAGCGATACAGACA